TTGGTTATTTTGGTTGTTAACAGATTGCTTAGTTGCCAGTAGTTTGCATGTAAGATGATACGTTGTCTGCCAACACTCTAACTGTGCTAACTAACTGTACACTGAGAAAAAGTGAAACATGAAAAATTGCAACACAAACCCGAAGTAGTGAATGCTTGCCTGTAAAGTGAAAGTTGTGCGTCAGCACTGCAATTTGCATGATTCAAATGACGTGGTGTTTACTTTCAAGGCAAATGGTTTCCATTTCTTGCACAGTTTCACAAATGTTCAACTAGTGGTCAGCAAGTATTCGTAGAAAAGTCAGCATATTCAGTTTGAAATACCGGTGTCTGTAGCAACCTGCTAGTGACTATATCAAGGAGGTTTCATTGGGATATAAACGGGAAGTATTTTCTCTCAATACTAAAAATTCCTACGGGGGTCACTGACCAATCTATAGGCCTGTGTGACTGTTGCTTCTGGAATGAATATCAGAATGACTGCATCAACCTCCAGCAATCACCAACTGGTCAGAATACCCATTGACTTGACTGGTTGTTGCAATATGATATCTCTCATCCTGTCTGACTGAAGCCTTATTCACTTGATCCAATGTTGCAACATGTTCAAAATGGCAGACAAGTTGACATCACATAGTTAGCGGGTACGTGACTGCAAGACCTAAATAGTCTGTGTGAGCCAGAGCGGAGGGAGTGACACAGTTAATGACTCAGTTAGTGACTCGCTACACCAACGCAAGTACGAACCACACAAGCAACACGTAGAAACTTCCAGTTCTCTGCAAGCAAAAAACTTTGATTCAAAAAGTTAATAAGATTTACCATATACCCCAAGCATTTGTTCAGTAAACATGACAACTCATCTTATGCAATGGATGGGTTTGTGTGGTTGCAGCTAGGTGATATGTCTGTCAGGAAGTAGATGAGTGAGCACTCTGATCTGATGAAACTGTCTACTTTGACATGCCGGGCCTCTGTTTGTTTCTTATTTATTTTATGTCAGTCTTTCTCACATGACATCCTGTTAGAGGACAAAAAAATGTGGCAGCAATTGAGTAAATCTCTGGATGCTGGCCACTGGAGCAAAGGTCACAGAGATCTGCTACGAGTTCAGTCTGAGTTGTTACTCATCTAATCTTGACAGACTTTAAGACAGCGGTCCTAAAACCATTTAAAGGTGGCTTTGAAAACAAACAATCGAGTGACCCAGTTTTTAAGATACGGCAGAAGTTTCCCCTATTTTATACAGCTGCAGAAAGTGGCCTGCAGTAAGTCAGGGTAGCACCTTCTAAAGCCCTACTGGAGTGAATTATAGACCCGGATTTTAAAGAGTGGTGTCAAATTCACCTTCCGCTGTCAGTGAACGATAAGAGAGCATAAGTGGAGCCTATTTGCTGGCTTTGGGTCTAAGGCCTGTGATACATTGGGAGGGGGTGATGCAGGGGGTAGATCATGGTAAGTAATAACCCCTATCCTCTCTGTTAAAGTGGCCTGCAATGCATCCAGGCATGAGTGAAAGGGATGTATCCCAGAAGCCAGGCTGCCCCAGTAACACCATTACCATCACCTCCCTGCATGCGCAAAGAGCTGGAGATAAGCAGAGATGTGACAAAGTTCCACTGGAAAGTATTTTAAAAAGTCCAGGCCTGCAGTTTTCTTACTTTCACAGTGTCTCTTTGCACTGCTACTGCAATTGTTTAGAAGAAGATCAGAAGTTCTTTTAAGTAGTAATCGTAACAGAGAGTATCATTTAAAGGGATTATCCTGTGCCTGGCTCTCAAGCATTGGTATTTCAGTAGATCTGCCATAATTATTTGCAGGATCTATATGTTGGATGTCTGACATGATGCCATTCCAACCTTTTTGCGTGTTATGCTTGGTTTGAAAATGTGCTTGCTCAGCAACAGTTGCTTTTAAAGTTTCTATCCTGTCATTTACATTCTAAAGGGCTCAGAACAGCCTGTTTGGTGATTAACATCCAGTTGTGCCTCATAAACCGTTTACTCTGACCAGTTTGTGCACGCAAAGGGTACAGGGTGCACTTAAGGTACTGAAGGATGAATGTCATGGAGCGGAGCATAATTAGTAAAGTCACAGGCAGGCCACATGAAGTCAGCTTGTGCCAAACACACCACCATAAAACCTTAATACTTCTGTAAAGTAGCACTTAGGGAAACATAAACTTGTGTTTATGAGACTCTCACTTAGCAAACAATGATTATCTGAAAATAAATGATAGATTTAGCCATTTCTAGAAGAAATTAAGAAGGCTTTAATAGTATTAAACTATTAGAAGTTAGAAGTTACTTAAGGTCATAGTTATGAAAGTGGACTAATTAGTTTTGGTGAGTGACAAATGAGATGACCTGTACATTAATGTGGCTAACAAGTTTGTCTATAGTCTGCCTATGTTACTGTTATAAGGGGTACATACCTTTAAGTGATATTTTTCACTTGAAAGTATATAAAACTTTAAAGGCCCCTGCTAATATAATCAGTTTAATGTTAATATGGTTTCTTTATATCACTCTGTATATCAGATCTTAGGCCCCACTCATAAAGGCACAGAGACCAGTTGATGACCATCTTGCAACCACTGGTTGTGAGGGTCAAATGAGTATCAGCTAAAGGGTTGGTGAGTGGTTGGTGGCAGTTCCTTTGAAACCAGTTGCTAAGCCTCATTCACACAGGCTGACTGACCAATCAGTGACCCTTCTGCCAATCACCAGCTACTAGGGAGAAGTGCAGGAAGATGCTGAGTGGTTGATGGAGGAAGTTGATAAAAAGGTATAGGATGCTGCACCAAAAACGTCCTTGCAATTGACTTGGTTGCTGGCTGGTTTCCGTGTTCGCCAGTAGTTTGCTTGGAAGACGCCAACTTGTCTGCAAACACCCACAAAGTACTCGTCAAGCAGTAGTGAAAGAAGTGCAAACAAACTGAAAAAAGTGACCGTTATCTTCAAAGTAAAAGTTGGACCTTTTGGAATGTGTTGGTTACAGTGGTGAGGCACAGCTTTGACTTTGAAGGCAAACGGTCACCAGTTTTACTTACACTTTTTCAAATTTCACTGTCGTTTGGAGAGTAAATGCTAAGCACCTTCTTCGTGATTGATTTCATCCAGTGAAGGCCAGCAACTTCGAGCAACTACTTACCAACTCATCAGGGAATACATATTTTTCCCTAGTAAACGGTAGTTGCATGGAATCACTTTCTAGGCCTTTGTTACTACTCATTACTACTGAATGAACATTTAAAACAGCAATAAGCACTGAGTGAAGGCTTAAACCAAATTATTTGTGCTGAATATTAATTTTATTTTTAATTCCCTGTTTTTTTTTCTATCTTAGCAGAATAAAACCTTTGCATTTTCGTTATACACCCATTTTTCACTATCCCAATCCTCCTCCAAATTTAGCTCTGGCAGTGGAAAAAACTATTTGCTTTTACTGCCGACAATAGTTTCTGCTGGTAGTCAGTAACAGAAAAACACTGCATTTAACTGGAGTCGAGGTTAGAAACCATCTAAATAACCCAACACCCACATAGACCTATTTTACAGCTTCCAAAGTGCTGATTTTACATGAATGGGCGTGTTTGTATAATCTCTTTTCTCCTTGGTACTTTCCACTGATGACCCTCGCAAGGTCCAGCCATGATTCAGCCACACTGAGACAAACCGTGAAGTGATAGCTGGGCTTAGGTTTCTGTCATTTGTCTCTTCAATACCCTTTTTTTTTTCGAGATGACTTAAGCTGTGCCAAACCTCTCACTGCCCTGAGACTCGGGGTCTATGATTGTATGAAATCATCACACGAACCATAGAGTTCCAGATTTACCGATCACCTTTTCTCAGTCGTAGTGTGTGGTTCATTATCAGCCAGAATAATCCATCATTATTAGACCTTTGCAAATTCCAGACTCCTTGTTTTCTTTCCATGTCTTGACGCCAGACCATTGGAGGTTATATGAAAAGTGACACTTATATCAGTCTTGTGTAGTTCACAGCTAGATGAAGCCATATTATGTCTGAAATCCAGCCTGCAAAAATGTTTAATTTTACTTCTATATTGTCGCCAACAGAGGATATTGCATTGTACGCTTAATTCAACTTGGCAGAGCCACACCAATGGCTGAGAACTGGCAATGTCTGCTGAAGAGCAACAGGGATCCGCCTCGGTTCTCTTTTATTATCCATCAGTCTTGGATTGATTAAAATATTGCAGTTCATTTATTTGCTATGAAAGCAAAAAAGTCTCTTTTTTTTTTATCTGCATACAAATCATTTACTGGAAATAGTTGCAGGATAAATGTTTTCTATTGAATTATACAAACAGATAAAAAAGATATTTCTGTCACTTCTGAAAACGTTATGCCCACCAATATAAACTGTATGTGACGTATGTGCATTGTAGCATGTAGCATAATTTCTCCTTGTTTGTATCTGACAGATTTTTAGCCAAGTGCGTAGATTTTAGCCAGTTGTGCGTGGCCGCAGTTGGAATGTCCTGATTATAATAGAATTCAGAGTTTATATTTAATCCAGGTGATCTATGTGATTAATCTATAGGAGGACCTAAACCTTTACCGCCATATTGTCATTTGTTTGGCTATGGAGCACAGACTAGTTTGGAGATAAGGAGGAAAAACTTCTATCCAGACAAGCTCTGGCTAATATCTATTCATCTGTTCAGGCCCCAGCTAACCACCAGCATGTTTGTGCACCTGTATGAACTAAGGTCATTCTTCAATCGAGTTCCTTTCAAATAATGTGAAATAAAAAGTATGTGTGTATTTTTCTAGATAAACTTAAGAAACCTGGATGGTGAAGATGTTGGGATTATTATTTTTTTTTCATTTATATATTAATGGGCCAATAGCTTCACATACACAGTGAATGGTATATTCTGGATGTCCGTCAGTAATCACCAGTGTCAGTATGCCACTGTCTTCTTTTTTGGGTGTAAATGTGTTGCTTCTTCCTCCTTGTTTTTTTTCTGTAGATTGAGAACTACATCAAAGAGAGTATGAAAACAGAGATGGCTCAGCTGCAGCAGAGTGCTGTCCACAACCACACTGCAGCCATGTTGGAAATGGGAACCAACCTCCTCTCTCAGACTGCTGAACAAACACGCAAGCTCACTGATGTTGAGACTCAGGTAACACTTAAAAAATGCCTTCGAATGTTTTCAAATGCCTACATATTTGAGTGAATTGTTATAATAACACCGTGTAGGTATATCCTGTGCTTCACTAACTATTTTACACATTTTTTCTTAAAAAGAAAAAGCAAACTGGCCAAAGACAATAACAATGGTGTATGAATGCCTATCGATTACTTTCAGTACTTTGAGTACTGAAAGTTGAGTAAAGGGTGATGAAAAGTAAGTGCACGGGTCATTTTTAGCTCATTTATTCAAAGTACTGAATCACCTAATGGGTTTTCAGCCAAGCTGTGCTCATTTTTATTGTTTTATGGGCAATAATCTGCAAATTGCAATACATTGTGTACGTCATTGGTTACTAAAGCACTAAAACAATAACTGCTCACAATTTTTTTTAAGTATAAACATAGTAGAGATAAATATGTTCTACATATTCCCATGTTCTAGGTGTAGGCTTGACAAAATGAAAACAAAGCTGGGGATTTATGTGTGGCTTGAATGTACAGTGCTTTGTTTTTTTTCTCAAGTGCTCTTGGTTTATCTTACATTTTGTTACATTGTTGCTGATTTATGATTACTGGGACTAACAAAGTATAATATTGATTTTTTTGTATTCTGTATTTTTTTGCCGTGGCAGGTTCTGAATCAAACATCAAGGCTTGAGATCCAGCTGCTGGAAAATTCTCTTTCAACCAACAAGTTGGAGAAGCAATTGATGGTCCAGACCAATGAGATCAGCAAGCTGCATGACAAGAACAGGTAAACACGCAATACACAATACAGACTGGCAACCGAAGATAAACCGGAGGTAATAAAGATGATGTATCGATGGGCGAAAGGCCAGCAAATTTACTAAACATTGTTCACTCGCTGCTGCTGTTTGCTGCATGATTGCATAAACAAAATCAAAAGCTTACTACCAGCGCTCTCTGACATTGTTAGCAGATTTTCCAAAATAATATTTAGTTACGGAAACAGCAGCAATGATAAGAAGCTCATACTCTCTTCGTGCTCAGTAGATCCCACTAAACCCCACAAAGCCTCGCTTTCCGTTTTGGACCGCTTTGTATTTGTTGCGAAATCAAGCAATTAAAATATTGCTGTTGGATATGTTTTCATAACTCTAAACCATGTTCTTTACAGTGATTAGTCCTGCGGGATTGTGTTACATGATGTAGTTTTTCAGTCCATAGGTCTCACTGCGATATCTGCAGAGACTGAGACAATCACTTAAAAAAAAAAAAAAAATCGCCATTTGAAAGCATAGTTTCTGGTGAATCAGACTTCAGTTATGCTTGAAGCTTATGGACATAGATTTCCGAGAGCAATTTTCCTAAGCTTAAGCAATTATGACATTATTCAATCTCATATGTATTTCCTTTACCGATCTTATAACTGCGGGGAGGATATGATTATGAATTTGATGTCAGCTTCTATCAATCTTTGAGGTATTAGATTGTAAAGCTCAGATGCCGTAATAGCGTATTCACTTACCTCAGATGGGCCTGCAAAGTGAACAATGAAGCACATGTTTATACTGTGTGAGGAAAACATGGCAACTAACCCTACAGACATCATTGTTTGTATTTTAGTCAGGGAAAGTTCCTGAATTGGAGTTCTCTAATCACCTCATGGGAGATAGTGAGGGGAGTATTGCCACATGTTGATTATAATTACTTTGGGTGTCTGTCATAGGCGGCGCAGTGGGAACCAAAAGTCAAATATGAAGAAATTTAAATAAATATGTTTTAATCACCTGATCCCTGCTTATAATTGCAAATAAATGAAACTGATATGTATTGCATAACTAGTAAATCAGAGGCAGGATTAAAGCATAAACTGCCAAACAACTGTGGATCAGTTTAAATCCTGTGAAAACAAATGTAATTCCAGAGACGTTGGATGACCTGGAAGGAAATAATAATTAACAACTTCACCATGTTCCATAATAAACTCTTTCGTTTTGCTTTTCCCCTCAGCTTCCTAGAGGAGAAGATGTTAGAGATGGAGATGAGACACCGTGAGGAGTTAGAGACACTGAAGCAGGAAAAGGGAAGTCTCCAAAACCTTGTGGGAAGGCAGAGCGGAGTTATCAGAGAGCTGGAAGCCCAGCTGAGCCGGGCCACAGGAAACAGCACGGCACTGCAGAGACAGCAGCAGGAGATGATGGACACTGTCCACAACCTGCTCAACCTCTGCTCTAAAGATGGAGGTAAGCAAACTGGAGTCATGAATGTGTAAAAGTTTTGAATGTTTCAAAGCATAAATATTGTTTTACACAATAGCCATCTTGGAAAAGCATATCCTTTGATGTCTGGTGAAGTCAAGCGGGTTTATTGTCATTTCAAGCATGTGCAATGGTACCATACACAATGAAGCGAGACAGCGTTCCTCCATAACCATGGTGCTACATATATAAGATACAACAGACAACACAGGAGAGGTCTGTGGTGCCAAAGAAGTAGATGAAGACAAGTCAAGAATTCTGAGAGCAAAAACCTTTGAGAAATACTTTTCATTCATCCCTAAGCAAATTATGTGGTTACAGTTGCTCCAACTTCTTAAACCTAATAGCAATAAAACAGAATTCATTTTAACAGGCACCAAATCAAAACTGACTAAAGTCCCAACCAGAAGTGTTTCATTATCCATTGATAATTCTGTTGTCACACCCTCCCCTCAGGTTAAGAGTCTTGGTGTCATCCTCGATAGCGCTCTTTCCTTCACAGCACATATAAATAATATCACTCGGTCTTCCTATTTTTATCTCCTTAATATTAACCACCTTCGACTTCACTCACTCCAAACAGTACTACCATACTTGTCAATGCTGTTGTTACATCTCGTTGGATTACTGTAATTTTCTTCTTTATGGTCTACCTCATAAATCTCTCCATAAATTGCAGTTAGTTCAAAATACAGCTGCTCAGATTGTATCCAGAATTAGATCCACTGAACATATAACATATAACATGTTCTTAAACAGCTCCATTGGCTTCCAGTTCACCTCCGTGTCAATTTCAAGATCCTGCTTCTTACTTTCAAAGCGCTTCATAACCTCGCTCCTCCGTATTCATCTGATCTTCTCCATACATACTCACCCCCTCGTGCACTTCGCTCTTCTTCAGCTCTGACTACCATGAGACTCAGAGGCTTTAGTAGTCTCACCATTTTTAAATCATGTCTCAAAACCCATCTATTCAGAATTCCATACACCTGATCTGTCTTAGTCCATTTTTACCGTACTCAGCTTTTATACTTGATTTTATATCTTCATGCTTGTTTTTTTTTTTTTTAAATTTACCTTATGTTTAAATTTTATTTTGCTTTGTTTTATTATATTTTATTGTTGCTACTGTTCTGTGCTATTGTAAGGTGACCTTGAGGGTCTTAAAGGTGCCTATAAATAAAATGTATTACTATTATATTATTATTATTATTATTATTATAAGACAATAAGGACAGTAACAAACTGAATTAAATCAAATAATACAATATATTATAAAGTTACAAAATGTAAGAAATAGCTCTAGCATATATACAAACAGCTCAACTATAAATATACAGAATATTACAGAGATTAAATATATATGACTGACATTTTACCCTAAACTGTAAACTTTGTTATTTGTTTTCACAGTAGAGAATGTGCAAAAGGGTGTAAGTATTGCACTGTGTACTGTGAATGAGATGGAGGAGATCCTGTGACTGGCAACCCACTGCTGTGTGTAAATACAGCCTCAAATAGACACTTGCTTAACTTTAAATTCTTACTCTTGTTTCACCCTAAAGCAAAAATCAAGACCGTCCACAATTCACCGACTTGGACTATAATGGGGAAGAAAAGTTTATATATATGTTTCTTTAAGACTTGTCAATCATCTATTGGTCGGACGTGCACTGCTCTAAATGTTTTCTACCCCCATCACCGATGACCCTAACGCAAGAAGATGCTTATTGACCTTTGCCAAACCACAATGTGAAAAGCAAAGTTTGTGGATTGGCTATGTTAAGTTTGACCCGTGAGACAGCAAGCTGTTTTGGATTACTTAGTTCCTCTGGTCATATCTTTCTGTTACAATAGCTTTGATTTGACAATCCTTGCGATATTATGATGAAACCAGTTCTACAAACCTTACCCCATGCAGAGAGACACAGGGATGCACTAGCTATAATGCCGAGCACCATTGAAAGCAGCATGAAGAAAGAAACATGCTTCTTATTGTAACCTGATGTGCTCCCATTAAAGCAATTTAGTGGCTCTCGTAAACCAGCGTGGTGCACTTTTCACAACAATCGCTTTTCACGCTTTAATTTTATAAAGTTTGTGTACACGGCTTCAGCGAGATGTTAGACACGACTCTGTCCATGAAGTAATTGGCTTATTTCATTCCTCTGGGTTCCTCACTGTTAATACGAGACTAGGGATTTCCCTTTTGGCCTAATGTTTGACCCGACAGCAATGCAACCTTTCTTGTTCGGTCAAACGCAGTGAACTCATTTACCCCCTTCTCAGGCATTTAAACATTAAAACCTACTTGATCCTAACATTTGCCCAAAATCCCTTTGGTCACAGGAGATTTGACATGCAAGTCCGTGTCAGGGGGGATGGTTGCAACCTCATTTCCATTTGTGGATTTCCTGCAGAGACGCCTCGAGACCCCACAGTGCTTCTCGATGTTTCCCATCAGACAGGAAACAACAAGGGCTTGAAAGGATGAAGAAGTCATGAGCGGATAGCTGCTGCACATGATTAACACATGCTTTGTATTTATCATGCTGCTGACTTTTGCAATTTTAATGTTCCGTGCAGAAAAAGGTCACGGACTGCCTCTATGCTTAGTCTGGATTTGTATATATTACATTTAATTACTGGAGGTCTTTTGGGACCCGTTTGTCCTGCCTGGGCTATATGGATCATCTGCACATTCCTTATATTAAGATGTGTGTCTTGATGTGAGACTTGTAGATCTCTGTTTTGCTGTTGTTGCTGTAATTTAACAACATTGATTAAATTCTCTGGTAATCATTATTTTATAGCGTATAACTCAGTACCATGTGTGGCATTTTTAGGGTTGGTTAGGTGAGCAGGGTATCCCAGCCCATCCCCCAGCCCATGATTGGTGGCTACCCTAATAAGAGGGGATAGAAATGGAACGTGGCCACTGCTGCTCTGTGGTTGGTCCTTTCCTCCTCCAAGGGGGTGTTGAAGGTTGGGGCGGGCATGCAGGTCAGAGGTCTGCCCTTTCCTCACCCCAGCCCAGATAAGTCAAACTGTAATAGCTCCTGGGGGAAGCCCTGTCTGAAGAAGGTGAAGGAGTTGGTAGAGCTCACTGGTCATCTGATGCACCGCGCCTGTTTTTCAGCAGCATTTAAAGCACAGAAGAAGCAGAGCTTTGTTTTTCTATGTTCAGGGGGGGCTTTAGTTTGTTTGAGAAACAAATGAGTGTTTTCATTCGAGTGAAGATTTAGCATTCTATGCCATCGGGGGGCGTCTGCTTGCGTTAATAACTTCTTGTTTGGAAATGGAGCCTGAGCACTTCCTTTAAAACATGGCCTCAAATCATCTTTGAGTGCGGGGAAACTGACAGATGCTTACAAAAAACCCTAAATTTAAAAAAAAAAAAGACGCTTTCCCACCAGCTGTCCATCGATTGCTTTTCCTAAAATTGAAGTTTCCAGTGTGTGTTTCAGCTGTTGCCATGCAAAGTGAGGCCGGGGAGATATTTTCAGAATGACCAGATGCTGCAGTGGAGTTCTTATATACGTTGCAATCATTACTCGAACCTCATTAGAGAGAAGTGAGCCACACATTGTTATGAACAATACCTGACCTCAGCTTTGGAACACTGTGCTAAAAAAAAAGAAATCTGGCTGCTAAATGTGATTTTGTTTTACAGTGTTCTATTATCCAACTAAATGAATGACATTCATCATTTTTACAGCTGCTTAGTCAGAATATAATTATTTTAAGGTTCCATGAAATGCCTAAAAAACATGGCCTTTTCTCTGTGTAATGCCCTAAAAAAAAGAGCATGGTAAACCACTTCGTTAGACGCTCCAGACCAAATTTGCTGCACGCGATTGTTTTCATGCTTCACTGGCTGGTTGTAAAGTGTGTGCAGTTATTTCCATCCACCTGAATAACCTATCCAAAAGTAGGGATAACTCTGCTGCATTTTATAAGGGTGCAACCGAAATATTTAATTTCTTTGTAGCGATCAAACGCGCTGTTGTTGTACGTATAAGGGTAAAACTGCATATTTTATTCTGATATTTATTAAGCTAAAGTTTGCAATTTTATACATTTAAGCTACAAATTACAATTAGCGAGCATTCTAAATTGTTCTACATAATAAAACTAAAAAGATTACATAGACAGCACATGTCCCCACTAGAGGCCTTGCATAAAGAATTGTGTCACGAAAAGAAAAGTATTTGGTACACGGTAAATATTTCAAAACAAAGCCGCTTTCCAGTCCATGAACTTTGTTTGGCACCAGAGACTTGGGTTTGTGTCGTTTTCCTCCAATGATTTAGGTTGTGGTAACACTTGGTTCAGGTTAGAGAAGGGAGAATGGTTTTAGTTTAGAAGTCAGACTTTTTTTTCTCTCGTTAACTAGAACACAATAACCTCTAACCCTTTTACAAGCATCAACCAAATGGCATTTGAAGCCCAAACATAAAAAAACATCAAAGTAAACGAATGATTTAGCTATTGGTGGCGAAAATTTGGCAAATCGTGTAAATGTTGATAGGAATGTTGAGTATAAAGAGTTGAGTATCGCTAAAACATGGTTTGCATGTGGTATACCTTCTATGGAAGGTATATCCAAAAGCAAATCACGTGTACGTGTTATGTGTACTTTTTCAAGAGATATGGTTGATATAAAAGTGAGAGAACCCAAAACATTTTCACGATACCAGTGACCCTCCTTATAATTCCCTGTTTGACATTCTGTAGACCGTTTTACCCCGTTACATTGTCAGTTCTTTTTTTATATTTAATGATTTATTTTAAATGATTTTTCTACACTGTCCTGGGCACACATGTTCTAGTATTTTTATACAGTACCTTGCTTCCAATTTCTCTTTGAAGTCTGTTAAGATTTCTGTTACTTGCATTCGTTCATTAGAGACCCAGCTTGTGTCTAGTTGACCTTGAATATAAATAGCATCGTGTTCATCAACTTGACAAGTATCTGGCAAAGGGAAGGGATAGGATTTTAATACTTTGCTATGTGATTTCTGAGATCCAAAAATAGGACAAAAGTAAATCATGTTGTAATAAATCACAAGGACAATTATTAATCATCACTGCATTACGGTAAATGCTTTGTGGGAAGGACTTGGCATGGTTTTTCGTGTGTTTCATGCTTGATCTGCAAGTACGCAAAATAAAGAAATTCGCTTGCAATCACTTTAACTCTCAATGGCACTGAGGACTGATTACAGTCGCATGGGAGCAGGGATTTCTGTGGTAGTCCATTTAGCTCCTTTATTCAACCTTCCTAGTTCAAGCATTTGGGCTCATTTGGCAAGGATCCTGATTTATGCAAACACCCAAGCCCTGCTGGTCTTTTCACATGAACCCCCTGCTGAATACGAGTCCCAGCTGAACCACAAAATATTTTTTGGTAAATAAATATTGGGACATAAATAATATTTGTAAAGCTGGGCAGCAAGCTGTTCAAGGGAGCCGCTATGAAGCTGGAGGGTCCGGTCCCCTCAGCAGACAGTCTTCTTCCACCAGGGTAGATGTCAAAGGCAATTGTGAAATAATTGTCCACGCTGTTACAGATTGAATACCAGAAAGCTCCCCTCTGACAGTGATCTTTCGGGCCTCTAAAATGTGTCCCGCTGTCTGCCAGCTTGGGGTCAATTACCGCCCGACAGGGCCGTTCTTTGTTGTATTAGAGTCTGCAGAGCAAGGGTCCACTCCGTCAACCTGTCACAGCGGGGGATTCTTGTTGCCGACACTCAATACCTTGTCAAAATGCTCCAATACTACGCCCAACTAAGCAGCCTGCTTCTGCTGAGAAGTTCTGCATCCAGGAGAGGGGGTGGGGCGGATCAAAGGATCACTGACACATTTCACTTTTCCCTGACATTTTCTTTGACTCAACCGTTTCAACAATAAAAAACAGTGGTGTGAAAACTGAGACCAACCCCCTTCTATGAGAGGCGAAAGGCAGGGACAGGGAGGAGAGAGAATCGGAAGGTATTTCCACCAATATAGCATGGTTTGGAAAGTAAATAAAAACCACTTGTTATAACAGGAACTTGAAATTTATAGCTTGTAGTATTTTGTCCTTACCCCCTTGCTTGGTTTCAAAATAACGCTGCCATAATTATCAGCAGATGGAAATGGATGCAGCTGGTCTGTCACAGTCTAAAGCCTTCTCTCAGAGTGTGAAAATATCCAGCAATGATCACCTCTGTGCTGCAAATGAATTGGTTGCTCTAAAAGTTGATCTGGTGGTTACGCTCGCAGTGAGAATTTTATTATCTTTTTTCTTCCCCCTGTGAAATATGTAGATCTGAAATATTGCAGATTGAGCAGCTATGGGTTTGGTGCCAATTTGTGATTCTTATTAAACTCTACTTTTAAGATACAAGAGGTTGCACATTTTGTGGCGTTCAAGTGATATAAAAAATGTGTTTTAATTGTTTGAGACTTCAAGAAGGATTAGTTAATATTGTTTTTACTGCATGGAGTGAGATTAGAAGATAAGTAAACTCATGTTTGTGCATTTTTATGGAGCTGGAGTGAGCTCAGTGTAAAAACGGGAAGCATGTGGAAACAACTGTCCAAGCTCACTCCACAGCTCATATAAGACTTCCTTAAGCTGTCACACAACCAGGCAGGAAGTCGTTCATTTTTCACATCCAGCAGTCCTGTCATTTCCAAATTTCTTTGTTTTCCTCATTAAGCAAGTAAGAGAATTGTCGAGTTTTGGAGGTTTTGAGGTTTTATTTTTCAACTTTTGAATTGTCCTCCCCCCTCCCCTTTTTTTACACCACATATGTTAAACAAATGGCTTTAATTGTAAACTTCAGTCAAATATAACATGTTTTCCAGAGAATTTTCACTCATTGAGGTTATGCAGACAAAAACATGACAAATTTCTTGTGTATCTGCAGTTGTTCCTAACAGTACAAAGGTCACGGAAGAAGAGAAGAAGTTTTGGGATTGTGCTGACCTGTACCAGGCTGGTTTCCATAAGAATGGCGTCTACACCATCCACGTTAATGCACAGGAGACCAAAAAGGTGGGAAGCCGTGATATCATGCAGCCAGCATTTCTCTGTAATGTGAAAATATCTCAGCTTTCATCACCTCCTAGGAGCGTTTTTATAGTGGATTTACAGGGTTTGACTTGGTTTTTTAAAAATATTGGACTCCGCTTTCTCTGCATGAGCTAAAACCAACCCGTGGAATATTAGCCAATGATGAGTGTCAATGATGAGTGCTAGCTGCTGCGGAAATATTGAAAGCTAAAAATACATTTGGCAGCTCTGAGAGTTCAGGAGTTTACTTGGGAGGTTAGGTGCGAAACAGGAAACCACACTGCTGAGCATGGTGACAAAGGTATGTGTGTGTATGTATTTCACATCTACGCTATTGAATTTAACTGAAGTGTATTTACCTGTTATGGCACCAAATATAACTAATCTAAGAGAGAAACCCAGCTTTTCCCTTTGAGCGAGCCCTTGGCCAACTTGGCTACGTTCTCTGATTGATGAGAGCGATGATTTCATGACTTAGGGAGTTTGTGTGTGAATTTCTGTTCGTTGCTGTTTGGTTAATCTCCTTTTGAAATTTAAATTCACACAGCATTTTAATGTATAATGTTACTTGAGCTGTTGTTTATTATTCCAGTCTCCACGAAAGATGAGGAAACTTTGGAGGATATTTGTTAAACAGTAGGCTATCTAAGCTTCAAGCCTCTGGGTGGATAGCTCCCATAGAAGTGTCTGACGTCTTTTTGGCTGGAAGATGTCCTGTCGACTTCCATGGCGTATTACTGAGAGATCTGCTAATTTTGTTCAAACAAACCCAAGTTTGAAAAGTCTGGTTTTTTTTACATCTATCAATCCATTTCCTTCCGCTTATCCAGTTCAGGGTCGCAGCGGGGCTGGATCTTATCCCAGCCGCCACAGGGCGAGACAGTTGTCTTTTTAGAATGAGCTATATAGGAATACTAGCTGCTGAGGAAATATAACTAGCCTACCTGTCTTTAGCCTGGGTTGTTCATGTCAGCACTGAAAGTTATTTTGTGTGTGTTACTTGCTATGCATAAAAGATCGAAAAACTTTAAGTTAATTTAAAAAATATATATTATTCTATACTATTCTATACTTTTAGCGATGGTTGTAAAGTCGATGGTCATAGCATGTGTGTGTGTGTTTGGCATGCATGAAGAGCTAGTCTTAAAAAGAAGGGTTCTGTCTGGGCTACCGCTTTAATTATACCCAGGCTTTGTTCATGTGTGTTCAGCTGTGTGGTCTGGCTGAGGTGAGAGACCTTCTCCGCTAAACCCCGGGGTATCCGCCTCAAAACAAAGAGTAACACTGCAGATAGAGTGCCAGTACTGCATTATCAGCTTACACATGCTGAGGTCCAAGGTTAAGGGCCACATTACACCCAGGTGTCTGCTGGTATGTGTCCGTCCTGGACCTCCGCTTTGATTTTGCAGAAACAAGGACCACTGATGAGGAACATCTCGAGGGAGCTGTTGAGGGATAAGGAGACGCTGATTGAGTTTGAAGAGGACCTAGATACATTGCATTCCCAAAGATGATTCATCGAGAAAGCAAGAGAAAGGAGTGTCTAGAACCAAATAATTGTCCAAGTGACCCTGCTCTGTTTGTAAATGCCGCTGAGAGTTGAAATGCTGAATGTTGAATTCATTAGTTTGGTAGTTACGTTACATCTTCAGACTATGCAAAGACCTATGGGTGTTATCAGTGTTCTATCACCTTCATACACAGTACTTTCCAACCCTCCCTTTCTGTCCTTTTAACATTGCATAGGTCTACTGCAGAATGGAAACAGCCGGCGGCGGATGGACAGTCATCCAGCGCAGAGAAGATGGCAGCGTGGACTTCCAGAGAACGTGGAAGGAGTACAAGATGGTGAGACAAGACAAATACGTGCACGCACTTCTCCATCCATGCACTCATTCATATCCATTAAACACGAGAGGATAATGTTTGTTCTTTAAACACGAGACAGTAAGTGAATACACACCCAGAAACTGAGTGAGCGCGCTTATCTGTATCCATTAAGCATAAATTACGAAACCGTACGATGAGCGAGACCTCCTGTTTCAAAAAAAGTACGCTTCCACTGTGTGATGATGAAAAATATCGTGCACGCTTTGGCCTTTACTGAACATGATGAAAACATGAGTCGGGATGCACTGATCCAAGACCATTTGGAACGCTTCGGCCAGATGTCATTCCTCTTCGGCAATATCTCCCCTGTCGTTTTTGTATTAGCAAAATTGTCTAGGGTGTCTGAGACTTGCACTGCTCCTTAGCCGAGGCTTCACTGCTGTTATTCTTCCTCTTCTCCAACAGGAAATTACTACCTAAATCTGAAAACAAAGCATTTGTTTAGTCTCAGTCGAGCTGGGCCAGGTGTTTGTCATCAAGGATAAAGCTGTGCATATTTGCATTGAGGGTGTTAACATTTCCTACCTAGGCTGTGTTTAGATGGTAACTTGGAGTTGTTTTTTCTGCCTGTTGAATTGCTAGTGTTTGCTATAGTAGCTGCCTGTGTATACCTTGCACTTGCTTTCAGTTGATGTTTCCTCTTTCCCCGTATAATCTGTTTCTACTTGAGTTTTTACCTCATCTCTCAGCTGCTCTTGTTGTACAATTTATCAGTAAGTGGGAAAAGATAAAGCCATTTGGGGAATTACAAAGCAGAGAACTTGCACACTGGGCCAGATATAAACCCACAGCAGTTTTTCAATGAGAAATCTTCATGTTGGCGTTTTTATTGAAAGAGCCTGAACAAAAATCAACAAAAGCAATATTGGAATAAGGCAGAAATCTCTCATTCAAAGCAACCTCAATCTCACTCTTTTGGGGTAAATTAAAAAGATGAAAGGTCAGCAGCGTAAACGGTAACAGAAAGATATAAAATGATAAAAAAATACCCAATGGAAACCTTCCTGCCTTGAACAGGTGCACAGAGGGAGTACACGGAGTGCTCAGTGCAAGAGCGTGCATTCGCAGGACTTGGCTGACATTTACGCGGCTAACTAACAGCTTAGAGTCTCCTTGAAAAGTTTAGAAGTCATCAACAAGTGTTTTATTGTGTTATTAATTTTCACATTCTTGGTCTCCCAGGTCTTGTACTTACACATTTATTGTATTTAGAGGATCTGTTAATATTTCAGCCAAACCTCAGACTCAGTTTCTTTGTGAGACCACAGAGGAATGTGGCGTGTGCATTAAAATATGATCTGAAGATCATGCATGTAAGTGCATTATCAGGTGACACCTTTATTTACAGTAACTGCTCGGCTGCCCATCAGCCTGAGTCACTTCTAATGTATTAATATCATGCAATGCGTTTAAGAGGGATTAATGTCAGCAAGAAAGCAAGCATTTAAAATGTGTTTGTTGTAGTACTAGATAGTACTTGAAAACTGACTCCTTGGACTTTGAGCTAATGGAAAAACAGTTGAATTATTGAGCTTAAGTAGTTTAAAAAAAAAAAAAATAGCTAAAAGCTGTAGATAAACATTTGAAACAAAAAAAACTTCATACCCATCAATGTGCATACACTACATGACTTTAAAAAACCCTGGATTTAACTAAGCAAATAGCTAAGAGCCTTCCTATTGCACAATAACTTCACATATTAGTTGTTTTGGCTGGCAACAGATTATTTAATCCTAACTGATGCGAAAGGCCATTTCAGAAGGATCAAGTTATTGGCCTGCTTCAATCAACGAAAACAACTGAGGAGATTATTGAAGCGAATCGGGTTTGGAACTGCCCAACATGTTATTCAAATCTGGAATGAGAAAGAAATGTAGTTGGAAAAAAAGTCTTGTATGATCGGAGTGGTGAAATCAAATAGTAAAATAATCAACAGTATGTTTAGCAGTGAAACTGGGAGCATTTCCACACAGACGATGTGAAGAGAAGTCAAGGAATTGGAACAAAAAAACTATGTAACCTTAGGAATATCACTTATCTGTGAGGCTAATAAAAAAAAAAGGCTTTAAGTTGCTACAAGGCATAAAGATTTGACTCTGGAGCAATGGAAAAAGGTCATATGGTCTGAGTCTAGATTTACATCTTGATGCATGCTCAATCATCCAGGTAAGTTCTTCAGTCTTAGATGACTGCAGGTTTCCCCAAATTTATAATCTTATAATCTTATGCAAATGTACGGTTTATAAGAAACCTGCAGTCAGCTGAGACTGAAGAAATCACTTGGATGAGTGATGAAACGTTTCTTCCACGGAAAACGCTGAGTCCAGATGAACAGAATCAACTTTCGGAGAGTCTAGATTTACTCATTCCAAAGTGATGGCTGGAACAGGTTAAGAAGAGCAGCGGATAAATGTTGGTGCCTACAAACGAGCCTGCAGAGGCAGTGTTGCGATCTGCGGTTTCTTTATTTGGCCGGGTCTAGGTTCATCAATGTTATGTTCCCGGAGAATACAGTCAGCTGTCTACTTGAATATACTGAATGACCAGGTTTTCCCATCAGCTGATTTTTTTTCTTCCGTTGATGGCACCGGCTTATTCCGACATGATCAGGATCAAACGGTGAAAGTATGGCTCAAGGAGCATGAGATATCATTTTCACACTTGGATTGGCCTCCACAGTCCAGATTTTAACCCCACTGAGAATCTTTGGGATGTGCTGGAGAAGACCTCATTTGGATGTTCAACCCTTCCATCATCAGGACAAAGATCTGTGGGGAAAAATGAATTTCTATAAGTTTATTGAAGGATTGCCATGGTGCCGTCATCAAAGCTAAAGGGAGTCCAATAAAATATTAGTGTTTGACTTTTTTTTTTTTTTTTGGCTGTGTGGTGTATAAGTGATAGGATGGGTGGTGCTAATAAGTTACTAAAGCTCCCTTGACAACCAAAAAAAAAACAAAGGTTGGGAACAAGTAAGAGATATGAGATCTACATATAAGATATGAGTGCTCAACATACACATTTCCTTTTTATCAGGACATTTTGAAAGTGTAACTGACATGCAAACCGAGCGCTCAGTCCAACAATATGACTAACCATCTCCTCATCTTTTTGTGGGCTGAGTGATGTAGATCAGGTTTGCGTGTGAAGAATCACAGAGCTTCAGAATTATATGAGGGAAAACTGTCAAAAAGATCCCCACATGCAGCCTCTTCCAAGCAAGAATTCTTGAGATAAACTGTGGTCACAGTAGGAGGCATTGGATCAAACTGAAAGCCTTTTAGATGGGAACATCTCATCAGGAGCAAGATCAATTGTAGCGACAGAGAGAAAAAGAAAGAAAGTGGTAATGGGCCCCAGCCTTTTTCTCTTACACCCACTCAGCAGGACATGGCTAAGGCCATAGGAATGCCCTCTATTTGTGTTCCGTCGTTGCTATTCTTTGTCACTACACACACAGAGCCCAAACACAACGTCTTTCTGACTTTACCGCTTTGACAATTTCAGCCCCTCTGTTTTACAATCTTTAACGGAGCAGCCTTGACTGTCCTGTCAGACCTGTAATGTCATCTTGCTTAGTGATATTCCCCCCTCTGTAATCCACTGCTCTCGCTGCTGTCAGAAGCACTTTGCCTGTGACCGGGAGCCACTGTGATCAAATACACTACTTTGGAGTTTGTTTGAAGGAGTGTCCGTGCATGCGGTGTATGTTTTGGGAACGAATTCTTTAAGTAATAATGACTTAAACATGTGTGACTATAGTGGAAGACAGAAATGGAAAAAAGGTGTGCTTCTAATTCAGCTGGTATCGATTTTCGTAATTTTATAGATAGGTAAGTCCATCCAAGTTAAAGACTGGGCCAAAAGCATGCTCAAGAAACATGTAAATATGTCTAATATGTAATGGAAGTCTTATCTATTTGGGGTAGGACGCTACAGCAGTACAAGAACATTTCTGCTGGTGGATAAACAACCACAGCATTTATTATCAGAGACAGTTTGTTCTGATCTAATTGCTGATTGATAAAAAAGAAAAAGTAAATTAGAAAATTCCTTCCCATTCATGCCATAATCCTCTAGTGTGAAGATGTTATCATCCAAGGGAAAAGTGATGAGATGAGCAATGAATAATCTCAAGTTTATGCTTTACAAAAAAGTTTTGTCAGTGGTATTTACATGCTGATTATTGAATTTTTCTTTTCCATTGCAGGGTTTTGGGACCCTGTCTGCAGAGCATTGGTTGGGAAATGAGTACGTTTACCAGCTGACAAACCAGAGGCAGTATGCCCTCCGTGTAGAGCTGACCGACTGGGACGGGCTCCAAGCCTTTTCACTGTACGATCGCTTCCAAATAGGCAGTGAGAAGCAAAACTACAGGTAATAGCAGACAAAGTGGGGGATTATTGTGTTTTCAGGCCAGTATTTGCTTATTATTGCCATGTTAACAGTGTTGGGTGTAGCCAGCTACAAAGTAACACATTATCGTAGTCATATTTTATTGCACAGGCACATGATGGTAAAGTGCAAATTGCATTCAAAACAGAAACAACTGTATTATACTGCAACACAACACTCCGTCTGTGCTAACATCTGCACCATAAGCTCTTTAAAAGATGGTCGAAGCTTCTGTGAGGTTACCTACTGGTTTCTGAAGTCCCATATTGAAGACAGAAGTTGACAGTTTCTGCAATTGCCATCTTGGTTGCAAACAAATGCATGAGACAAGGAGGGTTGTTTGACTTTGAATCGCATGGTATGACTACAATTTGCAAAATAGACTTCATGTTTTACTGAATATGACACAAAACGGGTGATTGAGGACATAAACTGATCACTAAAGTGTTTATAGACATCAAGACAAAAAGAAACATTTTGTCTTGATGTCTTGTGGCCTTGACATCAAATGTAGCTTATTTAAAGGGAGAATGCTAACACAAAGCTAATGAATGAAGCCCGAGTGATGTTAGAACTGCGCATGATTAGCGGCCCGGCCTTATTAGCGTGACTGTCAGCTAAAAGGCAGTTCAACATTAAAATCTCTCTTCACACACACACTTCACCTTCAGTGTGGCAACACACTCAGGTCAACTCTTTAGCTTAGAACAAATGCCACCAGAACCAATGCTTTTCCAAACACTCGTACTTTGTGTTTAGTAGCAATTAGCAAATATTAGCATGCCAGCATGGTGAAGATTAGCCTGTTAGCTTTGTCACTGTTCACGTGTTAGCATGATGCCACTAGCGCTTTGCCCAATGCACTGCTGTGTCTCATTACAGCTTCAAAGCCACTGCCATAGTTCTAGGCTTTTACACAATGTTGACACAGTTCAGTCCAAACACAGCAGAGTGTCAGTCAAGTTTTGGCAGTGTTCAAAGCCCAACAAACAATCAAAATTATTCACGTAATATGGAAGCAAACAGTCTTAAAGCATAAAAATATGTTTTGAGTCACGGTTACATACACAGAGTGAGTCAAATGAAAGCTATTACACAGCCTGTGTGGACAGAATTGATTAAGAGCGAAGTATATTTGTTCCATCAGACAGCCGTGAAATGAATGACTGAAACGGCAGTTGTGTAAACAGAAAAGTGCTTTCAGAACTCAACTATCACACAACACAATGGGGTGTTTAATGTGCGTTCGGGATTTTGCCCAAGGGTACTTAGACTTGCAGGCTGAAGAAGCCGGGGATCAACCTGCCTCCTGAGCCACGGACTTCTCAGGGTGTGGACAAAGATTTGGTGTTCTCTTCACCTTTTCGTGCCTACATCATTGCACATCTGGACATTCTGAGACTGTATCTATAGCATATATTTGAAATGAAGCAAGAAAAAAAATTACACCAGAAAATAATACTTGAGCGGTAAGAAAAAATGTTCAAAAGTGTTAAGATTATAACCATGAATTGTAACCGAGCTTTCCAGACACCTCAATCATGTCTTTCCTGTTATATAAGTCTGTGGTGAGGTTTGTCTCATAGCAAATTCCTTCCAGCCCAAATGTATTGCTTGTCATCGTCTCCTCATTGCAAACTGTACTTTGATTTGATGGATGCTTTGTCCTTGCGTGTTGCAGGGCAAAGGTTTCTGTTTTCTTTTGAGGGGGTTAATGATAACAGGCCTCAAACTATGGCAGATGCTTGGCCCACTTAGATGTGGAAAACTGATGCAAATTCCAGAGCTCCAAGCAATTGCTGGCTTCATAGGCGAAGGTCTGACATCTCCAATTCACTGGATGGCTGGTTCTCTGTGATAAGAAGTCCTTTTAGTTTCAAAGTGACTTTTGTTCATCTTTGAATGATGAACTAAGGAACAAGATTCTGTGGTTGAAAGCCTTTACCACAATCCGTCCAGAGCTCCATATAGCAATACAGGCTTCAAGTGTTTCCCTTCAGCAGCAAGGCCGGTAGGCCTTTTGCCATATCTAATTTTCAGAATAGTCCTGCGACGACAGGGGTTTCACTTTACAAATTTTCTGTGTTGAGAAGCTTGTACCTGGAGTGGGCTGTGTGTTTTCTCTAAGGGTCTGGAGAATGGATTTCATTTAGGCGGAAGAGATCAAGTTGTCTTTTTTTTTGTTTTGAGTTGAAGTTTTGAGCACTCAAAATGTGAGGACCGAATGAAACTCCATCTCTTGTTGCTTTCGGTCTTTATTTTTTGGCAGTGGTTCACAGATATGTGAAGTGCAGGCCAAACGTATTGATCAATATGTACTTTATTGTAAAAGTAAGAGTGTTCTAAAGCTAAACACCATCATACACATTTACATGCATTTCATTCACACTCATTTTTACACAAACAAATGAATTTATTTTTTAACACCCTAATTCCTTTTGCTTTTTTTCACACATGATTTAACAGTGATTTCTTACATTTTTATGTAAAAACTGTTGTTTTTGTCACACAGCAGCAGGCAAAGGGCATCCCCAGCCAATCCAGGCTGTTTTCAACTGCTAAGGAGACATGCAGATCTCTATAAATAGATATGTTCTCGAAAAATAGTTGTGGTATGATAATTATTCATTGCTACTCTGAAACATGGGCCAAAACAAACCAGACGGCCAGTCCCAAACAAACCGGTATTGCCACATTCTGTTTTGGGCTTTTTCTCTTCTGCTTTGGCACCTACTTCCTCTTAAATAAAGAATCTGCAAGTTTGCCAGAAAGTTCGCCGGACTGCATTTATGTTGCTTTAAAACTTTAAAAGCGATAGCAAGTGATAGGGCCTGTGTTCTAGCTGGTTTTAAAATGTTTTCTTTCATCTGAGGCAATTTACTGGAATACTGACTGCGCCAGCACTAGTCAGACAAACATTTATAAAGACCTTATACTGTACAGTCAGTCAGCGTGTTTCTTGCTTTCTTTCTTTCACGAGCATGCACTCTCTAAGCACTAAAGAAAGCAAGGCTGTGAACACAAGCACCACTTGGAAAGAAGGCAGAATCATAATCTAGGTCCACCATTGCGCACGACTCACCATTTATCATAAACAATACTGAGAATTGCTCGCCAGAAAATGCTTGTCCTGCTGCCAGCGTCTCGTTTCATCTACGTACACTGTGAAGCACAAACCACTCAACTTGTTGAGAGGGAGGGAGGTGTGCAATTATTTCTTTGTGAAATATTGGGTCCTAATCCTTTGCAGATGAAATCATGTACACAGCATAAATGTCACATTTATTACAAGTGCTGTAAAAATCTGGACCTGCTATTTATCTTTCCTCGGTCATCGGATTCTTGTGGGGTTTGCCCACTACAATAAAACTGTTAAAACAGCGCATTAGTAATAGTCAGATGATTCAGATAATTTGGGTAATTGATTTGTCAAATGTCAAATGCTGGTACTGGACGTTAAAACACAGACTCAAAGTATTTACCTTTAAACTGACATGATTTGTGTTTTTTCAAACCAGCCAATCACATGACAGCTGCTCAAAGTATTTATGCATGCGGGCATAGTCAAGACAACCTACTGAAGTTCAAACCGAGTATCACAACAGAGAAGAAAGGTGATAAAAATGACTGAACGTGGTATGGTTATTGGTGCCAGACAGGCTGGTCTATTCACTCATCCTTACTCATCTACTGGAATTTTTCCACACAACCATCTCTAGCGTTTACAGAGAATGGTTTAAAAATGACTAAATATTCCATGTTGATGTCAGAGGTCAGAGGAGAATGGCCAGACTGCATCAAGCTAGTAGGAAGGCAGCAGAAACTCAACAAGCCATTTGTTACAGCCAAAGTATGCAAAAAGACATCCCTGGAACCACAACACATTGAGCCTTGAAGCAGATGGGCTACAGCAGCAGAGGATCACACCGGATGCCAATTCTGTCTGCTAAGAACAGTAAACTGAGGCTACAGTTCATCTTAGACCAAAATTGGTCAAAGGTTTCAGATGTTCAGATTGACTGGTTAAACAACCTGAAAGCATCGATCCACTCTGCCTTGTACCAGCGGTTCAGGCTGATGGTGGTCATGTTTTCTTGGCAAGTAGTGCCAAGTGTACATTGTTTAAACACCATAGCCTATCTAAGTCTTGTTGCTGACCATGTCCATCCTTTTATGGCTACAGTGTACTGCTTCCAGAAGAATATCATCTCATGTCACAAAGTTGATCATCTCAAACTGGTTTCTTGAACTTGACAATAAATGTACTTAGTTCATTAGGTGTCAGTCCAGTAGTGCAAACTGGAATGTGTTGGAACAGACGATTCATATTATAGATGTTTAGCTGAGAAATCTGCAGCAACTGTGTGATGCTATCATGTGGAAATCTCTGAGTGTTCCCATCACCTTGTTGAAGCTATGCAATGAAGAATTGAAGCACTTCTGAGGAAGAGTGGAGGTCCAATCCAGTACTAGCAAGGTGTACCTAATAAGATGGTAGATGAGTGCACTGTTTGCATGTATTCTTGAGTGCACTGAAGGCCATATTAAGCAGTCATGCCCTCAAAACGTTGTTTCTCCCATAAATCACAAGCGATAATATGGCGAGAGCAGGAGAACTGCATCAATGCAGAAACAGCTCATGAAAAAAGACAGAAATCTACACAGTATCTGCAGGGAGAACGCCGACATCAGCAAGGTTGTCTTAATCATGAATGTGCACATCTTAACACTTTGACAGGCATTTCATTTCACTAGACCTATGGAGTTTGCTTCTGAACCACAAAGTTACATGATTGTAAAGTGAGCTCATTTCACAATCGCATAAGCTTGAATTGTGGTTCAGTGGAAAACTCTATAGGTCTATTTTGGTTTTTTGTTTCATTGTGACTCAAGTCACCATAATTGCAGAGGTTACTTTCCTTATAAACATCTGAAAAAGGTTCCCTATCATCATATCTAATCTGCTTGGTGTGCCACAGCAT